AAAACTTCATCTATACTCTAATAAAAAGTTCCCCAGACCAAAGAGGTCACCTTAATACCAAAAAAAAAAAAAAAAAAAGTAATATCGGTTAGATAATGACAAGTCTCAGCAATTTTGTAAATCCTAGCAATAGTTTATAAATATAATAACAAACTGAAAAAATGAGATAAATTTTCATTTCCTTCTTTAATAATGATTACTATCATTAAATTTTATTCAATTGAAGTTTTTAAATATACAAATACAAAAATATATAAATATAGCAGATTTTAGTATTTAAAGGTAAATTCATTAAATACATTTTTGAAAATTTTAGATTAAAATATCAAACAACCTGACTAACTCAACTGATTCAAACTTATTTGCACCTTCTATATCTACCCTGATAACTATAACTACAACTATATTTCTCTCTCAACTGATTACCTTTAATACAATCACTAACCCTAACAACCTTTTTAAAACTCTTTCTCATTCTTATACATCTTGTTCTTAATCGATTACTCATAATCCTTATAACCACTATTCAACTCATCCTCTTTCTCATATATCTCATTCTCAATCAGTTACTCATAATTCTCATAAACACCACTCAACTTATTTTCTATCAGTTACTCCTTATATATCTCATTCTCAATTATTTACTTATAATTCTCATAATCACTGCTCAACATCAGTTACTTATAATACTTATACTGATGATGATGATGATAATTTATCAAGTATTGTAAATGTTCATAATATCTTTGCTAATATTAGAACTCGATATATGTCTCATCAAGCTTCATAGCAACCTTTACAATTATGCCAGCCTTCACAATCACACCAACCTTCACAATCATACCAACCTTCACAATTATGCCAATCTCTACAATTTAGCCAAGTTCAACAATCCAACTAAGCTCAACAATCCCATCAAGCTCAATAATCTTATTTTCGTCATTCATCTGCAACTAGTAATCAGAATTAGCCCTTATCGCCCCAACATGATACTGATCCCAAATCAAGAGGTAAGTCATAAGAAAGATTATCAAATCAGAATCAGTTATATAATCAAGATAGTAATTTTATATAAGTCTTTTTTTTTTTTTTTTTTTTACTTTAAATATTGATGTTATCTTATAAGTTTATTTTTTTTTAAAATTTTTTTTTCTTTTTTTGCGAAAGAACATTCTCGCAAAAAAGATAAAGGCTGCTAGGCTGAATGTGCTAAAATTGAGCTGCTTAATGTTCAAAACTAGTATTTGTATTTACTAGTCAAAGGAATCAAAGATTATGTAAGAGAAATCAGGACCGAAATAAAGTGTCAAAGAAGAGAAAGGGAAAATGACCTTTTATCCCAAGTGTTAGATATAAGTGGTTAAGTGTTTTGCTTAACTATAAACAGTAATATATCTTTAAACTATATTGGTTAGGATATATATACAAACATGGTAAAGTGCCTCTTCCCACACTAAATATATCCCTCTCAAAGTACCCTCAAAGAAGCTTTGAAGAGCTATTAGGACAAAGTATACCCCAAGTTTATATCAGATATAAGCTCTAACGAATTTACAAACTATTTTCATGAGAAATAGTCTAGTTCTATATATAGTAAATTTAATATTATGCTTTTATCTCTTGTAATTATTTTTTTTTAATTATTTTTTTTATTTTTATGTTTATTTTATACATGTTCTAAATTATTATATTTTACTAGTTATTACAAAAAATGAAAAATTATAATTTGACATCTTTCATATAGAGACAACTCTTTCTGATAATCCCCTGCACCAAAAATTCCACTAATACTGACCTATGAATATTGTGTAGTTAGTATATTTTTTTATAACAAAACTTTGCCAAATAGCTTCTGGGTTCAAGAGTTTCAGATTGCATGTAAGTGCTATAAAATAGAGTTAAAAAAGACAGCTTCTTGTTGGTTTGGCTCTCTGATAAAAGTCTATAAAGCTATCAAACAAGTAGCTTTGGTGATAACCAAAAAAGTTTTTGTCAAGTTATATTGGAGCAAGCACAAGGATAAAAGCTAAGATAAATATACTATTCTATATAATATAAACTCTTATACTTCTTGTTTTGGTGATTACCTTGGCCTGTCGTTTTTGCTATCACCCACTTGTGCTTTTAACAAAATTTTCAGAAAAAGTGGGCAAAACAGCTTACCCCCATCAGAAGATTGGCATTGTTTACTTCTTCTAAATCTGAATAACCAGATGAATTGCAACTATGTGTTTTGGGGTGATCATAATAATAAACACAGTGCTATCTATAGAGGACTGGGACCTTCTATTTATTTTATATCCAGATTTGATCATATATTAGAAAGAAGATTCTAGTTAAAGTAAAACTTTACAGTTGAGATATTCTATAGTTGCATTAGTTATATAATTTTTATTATTTGATTACAAACTGCTTTTTGATAGAGGTGGATTGGTTAGTCTGTAGAGACTTTTTTCTTTGTTTTTCTTTTTTTATATTCCCCTGTTTCCTATTTGTCTTCCTTTTTGATTCCCATTTCATTTATATATTTTTTTTAGTTTTAGTTTTCTTTTTGCTTCTTAATATTGGCCTGTATTGGTAATACAAAATTTTACTTTCTTGTGCTCTCAGTAAAGAAAGAAAGATTAAAGAGATTAGTTCTTGACAGGCTGACGAGGTCTCTTGAGTTAGTGTGACAAGTTGCATCTAGGTGCAGTATCTGTAGCCGAGTGATAACAGGCTTGTAATTGCAAAAAGCATTTACTAGAAATAGGTTTTAGTTTTTAAGACAGATTTCACCATGTAAATATTTGTATTGTAGCACCGACAAGACTGTCAAAGAATAAAAAAAAAAAAATAACAAAATAAAAATAAAAATTGAAGAATTACTGTGGAGTGGCATTACAAAATATTAGGAATGCTATTTGGAGGATCTTTGGGACTGAAAAGCTTCCGCCCTTGAAATGTAATGCTTCTGCATCTGAAATTGTGAGATGGAAGAGAAGTAATGAGGTTGCCGATTGCTTCTGCTCACTTTTTCAACAAAATGAAAGTGGGGTGTATTGGATTGACATGATCACAAGGTCTGCCTTCTCTATGGCTGTAGTATCTGACTTGGCTCCTGAACATTGTGCATTTACATTAGCAGTGTGTGATATATTTTTAAACCCCAAGTCAAAAAATATAAAATATACTGAGAAACTTATGAAGTGCCAACTAGAGTAATATTTGGTAAGTATTTTGAAGTTTTTATTTATAGCAATCCAAAATTAATGAGTTTTGCATTATAGGATAATTTAAATAATAGAGGACCTTCTTATAAATCTGCCCAAGCATTAATGGAAAGTGAATATGAAGGTAACGAAGGCAAAAAGTCTAACCAATCTTATCTTATCCAACATATAAAGAATCTGAACCAATTTCATGATTAGGCTCTTCAATACAAATTTTACAAGATGAGCTAGATGATTTGTTTGGGGTCTATTAGTAGTGGTGGATTTGGTTTTTTTTAGCTCTAGCATTTTTTTAGCTTTATTGTTTTTTTTAGCTTTAGCATTTTCTATTCTTATATTGTTGTTTAGTAATGATAATAATGTATAATGATAGTAATGTAAACAAATAAATATAGTTTACAAATTCTATATATTGCTTTCAAAATTAATATATAATGTGATGTATAAACAAAACAATGATTTTAATTAATATTTTAATATAATCATTAATAAACGATTATTTCATATTAGATAAGTATCGATTTTAATCGAAATTGATAAAAATCAATAGGTATAAAACTGGCTATATATTGATTATAACTAT